CCCCAAAACCCCAAAACCCCAAAACCCCTTGAGCTATATAAAAATCAGTGGTAAAATGCAATAAATCATTTGAAAATGTATAAATCTAAATCATTCTTATAAAATCAATCAAACTATTATATCTTAGAATTCATTGGGTAATAATGCATGAAAAGACTCATAAAGATGCAAAATTGAAAAAGTCAGTCTCAAATGATTTAAAATTCATTAATAGCGGCAGTGTTTTAAGCAAAATATTAACTTTAACCTACAACATCTTCAAATTAACTTATATTTCCATGAGCATGCATACCTGAAACTGAATTTATTATTGGGGATGGTCCGGAGATGCAGAACTGCATAGACTGAGGGATTATTTCTAGTTATTACTCTTCATCTTAATACTCTCCTGTACTTCCATTATTGAGAATTCTATTTTCATCCTAATTTTCTTTTCTTACTCTCTGAATCGTTCTCTTAATCTAAAGTAATGAGATGCCGATGGGGCTAGTAATCTAAATCAGAAATTATTCAGAAATTTGAATTTACTTCCTCTACTCTGAATGATGAATCTCCTCTGACAGGTGATTATTGAAGATCATTTCTATTAGTCCTGAGTGTTGGTGACGCTCTCTTTCTTTTTGACGATTTAGATTGTTATTACTCGTAACTGAATTGGGATTCTATTTCAGATCCAACTGACCTTAGAGACTGATTTGGACTCTATCTTTCATCTAGATAAGGGTTGAAGCTATTGAGTGTAAAACTGGTTTATTTAGCCTCTTCATTTCTATTTATTTTATCCAAACTATTACTGCGTGATGGATTTTTCTGAAATTTTAAATTAAATCTTCTCAAAGTCTCATGAATAAGCAACTGCCTATGAGGATAGTTCTTTGTCTCAATTAGTTTTTAATAAAACTCGTTCAATTCCCTAGTATCAAGCTAAGATCCTTCAACGATCACATACTCTAAAAAAAGGATTATAAATTTTCACAAGTTAAAAAGTGGATCAATGATTATAGTGCAAGCAAAAAATAATAATGTACTTTTTAACTCAGCCTTCTAGTTGTAAGTTATTACACCCATCTAGTAGATCTTATTTATCTCGATAAACAAGTTAGCTTCAAGTGTAATCTACTATTACCTATTTGAAAGGAAAGTTATTTATGAGATATTTTTAAAGAGAAAGAAGGAGTAGATTACAATTAAGGATTTCTACTATTCGTTTAATTTTAGGTTAGAAATAAACTCTTATTTATCATTTATACATTTTCATTTTTAGCAACTTATCTAAATAGTTTTACTCTCACTAACGGGGTTTTGGGGTTTTGGGGGTTTTGGGTAGACCTTTAGAAAGATACTT